CCCCGCCTCCCAGGACGCCTCGATCCACGAATGGGACTGGGACACCGGTCAACTCAAGAGCAGGTTCTTCGGCAACAGGGGCAAGGGGGCGGGGGGCGTTGGCGGCGGGCGGGGGGGCGGGAACGGGAGCGGAAGCTACAACGGCGGCATCTCTTGTATCTCTGGGACGGGGGCGGCGGTCCTCACGGCCGGGTGGGACAAGGTCGTCCGCATGTGGCCTCGCTCGGCCCCGGCGCCGCAGTCGCAGGAGGCCGTGGCCGCGGCGGCGGCGGCTGCGGCGGCGAGCGCGCAGGCTGCGGGCGGCAGACGGCGGTAGTAAGCGTAGCGCTGACCCGACCGGCGTGTTGGCGAGACTCGGCTGGTGGAGAGAGAAAATGTTAACTATGCATGTTGGCTCTGTTTCTGTGGTGTTTTTGTCTTCGGGGCTTTGCCTGGGTCGAGGAGCAGCGGGTCCGACGTTTATTGGCTAAACTCGGTCCCTGTAGCCGCAGTGCGTGTGCGTGTGCGTGTGCGTGTGTGTGCGTGCGCCGCCTCTTGTCAGGCGAAGGGCGGATTCCTTTGCTCTTGCGAGTTTGTGATGGGGTGGTGAGGGTGGTGGTCGGGCCCACGTGCACACGGGAAGCAAGTCGTGATTTCTTCGTCTTTCCCACCCCCCACCCCACCCCCCACCCCCCCCGGCAGAGTTTCCCACGAGGTGTTGTCGATCGATCAAGATAACGAGTAGCCCCTCTTCCTTGTGGTTTGCGGTTTGCGGGTTGACGAAACCCCGAGAGCCTAGCAGCGCCGTCGACCTGAGATGATGGTGGCCGGCTGACAAACATGCGGCTCGGTGGCTTGGTACGCTGTTGTAAAGGGGGCTGTAAAGATCGGCTCCTGCAATGAGAGATGGTGACGCACCCTGGGGCCTGGCACAACATCGCGTCGTGCCAGCCACCGGAAAAAAGCAGTCTGCCGGTGCAGTATACGATGTGTAGCGCGTAATTTTGTGAGTGGGTTATGTCCTGTCTCTGCGATTGTTAGTAAAAGGGGTTAGACTTGTCAGAGAACATCCCCGCCGAGGCAGGCCGCCGACGGCTTTTTTTTTTTCTTCAAGTTTGTCTAGCGACACCACTGCTGTTTGAATTTTTGGAAGTTGGTTCTCGACTTGTGGGTGGACGGACGGAGAAACATGGAAGCTACGTACGTCCCCTCTCGTTCCGTCGGTTCATACGTCCGGTCGTTCCAAGGCATAAAAAGACGGTGTCCTTCTTTAGCCTTTGTAGCCTTTAACCTAGCTTGTCGATATCTTGCTTCTTCTCGGCTGAATTCAAAAAGGTTCCAACTTTCACAAAGTTGCGAGCGAGTAAGCGCTCGTGGCATCTGTAGCAAGGAGAGAGTTGTGGTGATGAGTATTTCCGCAAAATTTCACTTGTTTTATTTCCTGGTTCTGTTGGACAACGTCTAGACCATTGGATACCTGTTTCCAACAACAAGCGGACTTTGGGATCTATTGCAACGCTATGGAGTTAGCTTGGAGAGCGTGCTGCAACAACGGTCCTTGTTTTGTACCTGTAGCGGCCAGTCCTGAAGAAATTTCTTTGCACGTTGTTAACAGCAGTCGAATATCAGCTGCGCTGCTCGTTGATTGGTTGCGCGCGCATGAAATGCGATGCCGGTCCGCTGTTTTTCTTCCTTTTGCTTGCGACCGCGATATCTACCTATTAAATAGTGTTTGTTTGCTTCGCCTCTAACGAAACGTCTTGTTGCCTTCATGCCGTTGTCTTTACTTAGAAAGGGGGCTCTTCACTTGTTTTAGCCCCCGCCTCTTCTACTACCGTAATTTATATGTCCAGTGACAATCAACTACGGCTTTTTTTCTCACCTTTCCATTTTTGCCGAGTCGCCTAAGGAAAACAACCGGTGACGCGTTTTTTTTTTTTTACTGGTGCTTTTTGCTGGACGAAATTAGAAGCCAAGTTTGGGGCACACGAATGTCTGTCCGCGCAAATCGCAGAAGAAGAAACAGCCAGCACGCATGACCCTTGTCACAGCAAAACGAATAAGCGCGCCTTTCATGAGGCTCCTTCCCTCGTACCTCGGCACGCCCTGGTCCTCGCTACCCCCCCTGCCCCTAAAGTACAAAGTAGCAGAGAAAAAAGAGTCACATAACTGCATGTAAGAATCACGATACACAGCACGCTTCGTCCATCCCCGGAGGACGTGGGTCGCCCAGGCGTTGCTCGATTCTTCTGGCTATCGCGGCCGCCGTCATGTCGGGCTTGGGGCTCATGAACGACGTAGCCACGCGGCCCTGTCGTTGAAAGCAGCACGAAGCAGGAAGGCAAGAAAAGGAGAAAAAGAGGAACGAAAGCAAGAAAAAAAATTAAACTAACGTACAGGAGTTAGACTAGCCTAATCCCCGACAAGTGCGAGGAAAGTGGTGTGTTGAGGGAGGCGGAAAGATGCAGGACAGGGTTCACGAACACCAAGAGATAGAGTACATGAAGGTTTGAAACAACTCTTTTTTGCGAATGGTTTGAACACATGAACGTGAGCTGCTGACAAAAAACGGGATGACAAAGCAGTGGAGCACAGCAATGGTACAGATTTTGTTCGAGCAGCGAGGGCCGCCTCTGTCTACTCTCTCACCGGATGGGGACCGTTAGCGTCTGAATAACTATTCCGCATAAATAAATAGTCTAGATCGATACACGGTTAGGCACAGAGATGAGAGTCTGCCTGCCTGCCTGTCGGTCTGTCTATCTGTCTGTCATCTGTCTGCGTCTGCATCTGTGTCTCTCCCTCCTCCTCTACCTCTCTCTCTTTGTCTCTCTCTCTCTCTTTCTCTGTGATCTGTCTGATGTGCCTGATCTATCTCATGCCTCCCACCGGCGTCCCTGTCATCTTCTCCAGCTGGAAGAAGGCACCCCTCGCACAGATGCTAGACCCGCTAACAAGCTCTTCACTGCCAGACCGACAGGTTGCATGCCATTGGATCAATTTACCCGCGAGACACGAGAAACGAAAAAATGGGCACAGAAGGGGGGGGGGGGGGGCGTGCTCATGTCAACGTATGCCTTAGTCGCTAGGCCACGGAGGGGAGAGGAGGAGGTGTAGTTCGGCGTGCGTGAGCCTCCCGTACGACAATAAGCTGGCACAGCTTGAGCTGGTAATGCCATATCATACGGTACCACGCCTCACATGTCACTCGAATTGAGGGTTCCTTGGCCTACAAGACTATGGCCAAGACACGTTCTGTGGTGCTAGCCCTTCAAAGCGGCGCACAACAAACGTGTCATCATGAGTCGATTTTATTTGTCAGCCAGGGCGTGTGATGATGGCAAAAAACTGATGACACGAGACATTATGCTCCTTCAAGCCAGCCCATTGCGCTGCATCCGGTGATGTCACTATCACAGCGCTAGCAACCACAACCAACCTCCACCAGAGAGTCATCTCAAACTGCTGTGCGTGCGTGTCTTCTCCCACAGCTGCCCCAACTTGGCCTACTCACCCCTCACCTTCCGGGGGGTACGTGAAATAAGGCTCGGAACTGGCATCCCCCAAGATCGGTGATGTCGTACGTCACCGAGCAGGCAGGTTCTACTGGGGGGGGTACGCAGATTGTTGGGACTGATACGTAGCATTGGCGGAACCAGAGGCAACAAGCAGCATGAGCAATCACGACAGCAGTAGCAGCAGACGCAGCATCGGAGCATCAGCAACAGTTTGGATCGATTTTTCGACCACGAAGACACGGGTGACACACATTCACGCACACACAATAGAGGGAGGACATGGGGGGGCGCTATCAGTAGACGGGGCTGCGGTGCGCACCTACAAGTGTTGGTGGTCTGGCGGCGGCAAGGAGTCAACCACGTCGCACGCGTTGCTCGCGTGACCACAAAAAATCAATACTTGTGTGTACATGCTCTCTAGAAAAGTAACTTGCCGATCCCTCTTGGGCTTTGGAATTTCGAGGCAACTTTTGAAGGGACACGGTTGGGAAGGAGGGGGAGGGGGGGTAGCGAAGAGGAGCCATTCTGTGTGACCCCCCCCTCCCGATCGGCGTAACATTCAACGGCCATCACGCGCATAGATGGAGAGAGTACGGGAGAACGAACGTAGACAAAATGTTCCAATACGGGGGCACACAGAAGCACAAGTTTTATTCCTTCTTTTTACTTGCTCACGACACGACAAAATTCATCTCCTCCGCATACGATATCATTCCCCTTTGACACACCTTGGTCGGCATGGAGCACCTCGATCGTTCCTGCCGGAGACACCCCCCGTCGCGCTGAGGACATTTGCCGGCCGTCCCCGCCCCCCCCCACCACCTGCCCGAACCCAGGTCGGCCGACAACGGTCGATATCCAGTCCAACAGCCCGGCAATCTGCGCGAAAAGCACGAATCGGAATGGTGGACGGATGCACGAAATGCCGGTCGGAAAAAAAAAAAAAAGGAAACAGAG